ATAGAAAGTCTAGAATGTGAAGAATAAATTGTGGCCATTACTTGCATGAGAATGTTACATATGCATTGATTAGATGAATTTAGTTATAGGCTTAGTATCAAATGTGTGTTCGTTGTATGATTTGGTTTTCTCTAGGTTTTTGTGACAACTATATAATTGGCACGCTCAGGGTATTCTTAGATTTTAAAATGATTTATAACTCAACCATTAAGTGTGATTTGAAGTTTACCACATCTCAAACCCCATGTCAAGATCACAAAACAGGCAACCTCTGGCTCATTTATTTTGCGAAAATGCTTTTTAACTCGTGGCCACCGGGCCCACCCCCTGTTTTCGCTCTTGCGAGCTGCCCGCGAGTTGGGCGGTCGCGAGTTAAAAAGCATATTTTGAATGAAATAAGGATTTTTTTTTGGGTTACCTGTCACCAGTATATATTTGAAGTGTATAAGATAACAGCGAAGATGAAATTCTATTAAGAAGAAGATATGAAAGTAGTAACACCCTTTTCTTAAATATGCATGATAAACAAGTTTCATATAGTTTGAGAGGTTAGATATTAGATTCACATTAGAATATATAACTTCTGTGGAGGTATTGAAAAATGTAAGACGCAGGAAAATCAATATCAATGGTGCAGGAACATTATAAAGTCCCCGAATCTATCAAATTGCAGGAACATTATAAGTCACCGGACCCATCAAATTGTAAAGTTTGATTTAAGTGGATGTGTAAAGTAGAATATCAGAGAAAGAGACCAGCAATTTCCAATCTCAATTCATAATGCATTGATAATACGTCATGGAAAAATAATAAGTTTAAATTATAAAATTATAGTGTTGGCATATATAGATTTAAAAAACAGGAGGAAAGAAACAAACATACATGGTGCATGTGCAATGTGAAGTTAAGGTAATCTTGCAATATTAAAAGGACAAATTTTTAAAAACAACCGTTTTTTAGCATTAATGAGTAAAATCGACCATTTCAAATAATATTCAGCAAAATCGACCCTTTTTATTTGAAAAGGGTCGATTTCGAGCCAGAGAAGTTTTTTGAGCTGCACGGGAGTACTAGTCCCGTGCAGTCTCTCTCTCTCCCCTCACTCACGTGTTATCTCTCTCCTCACTCACCTCCCCGCTCCCGTGATCCCCAACCTCTCTCTTTCTCTCTCCTCACTCACCTCCCCCGTTCACTTCCTCTTCTCCGCCGCCTGCAACCGCCAGGCCCGCGACCTCTCCTCCTCCTCCCCCTCCACCACTGATCACCACTCTTCGACGCCGCCGTCCTCCACTTCCCCTCCCCTCTCTCCTCGCCATGACCATGAGCAATAACAGCAGCATTGAAAAAGGATCACAAACAGCAGTATCATCTTCTTCCTCCATTACATCCACTAGGGAAAACTTCAGCTGTTGGTTCTTCATTGGTTCGATCATCGTCACCTCAATATCGTTCTTTTCCTGTAAGTTTGGGTTTTGGGAGGGCACTGTTCTAAATGTGGGTTAATTCTCTGTGCGCTTTGCTGAGAATTGGTGAACTTTGCTTATATGGGCTGATCTCATAAGTAATTTTCTCCTGCATTTTTAGCATTAATGAGTAAAATCGACCATTTCAAATAATATTCAGCAAAATCGACCCTTTTTATTTGAAAAGGGTCGATTTCGAGCCAGAGAAGTTTTTTGAGCTGCACGGGAGTACTAGTCCCGTGCAGTCGAAGATGATACTGCTGTTTGTGATCCTTTTTCAATGCTGCTGTTATTGCTCATGGTCATGGCGAGGAGAGAGGGGAGGGGAAGTGGAGGACGGCGGCGTCGAAGAGTGGTGATCAGTGGTGGAGGGGGAGGAGGAGGAGAGGTCGCGGGCCTGGCGGTTGCGGGCGGCGGAGGAGAGGAAGTGAACGGGGGAGGTGAGTGAGGAGAGAGAAAGAGAGAGGTTGGGGATCACGGGAGCGGGGAGGTGAGTGAGGAGAGAGATAACACGTGAGTGAGGGGAGAGAGAGAGACTGCACGGGACTAGTACTCCCGTGCAGCTCAAAAAACTTCTCTGGCTCGAAATCGACCCTTTTCAAATAAAAAGGGTCGATTTTGCTGAATATTATTTGAAATGGTCGATTTTACTCATTAATGCTAAAAATGCAGGAGAAAATTACTTATGAGATCAGCCCATATAAGCAAAGTTCACCAATTCTCAGCAAAGCGCACAGAGAATTAACCCACATTTAGAACAGTGCCCTCCCAAAACCCAAACTTACAGGAAAAGAACGATATTGAGGTGACGATGATCGAACCAATGAAGAACCAGCAGCTGAAGTTTTCCCTGGTGGATGTAATGGAGGAAGAAGATGATACTGCTGTTTGTGATCCTTTTTCAATGCTGCTGTTATTGCTCATGGTCATGGCGAGGAGAGAGGGGAGGGGAAGTGGAGGACGGCGGCGTCGAAGAGTGGTGATCAGTGGTGGAGGGGGAGGAGGAGGAGAGGTCGCGGGCCTGGCGGTTGCGGGCGGCGGAGAAGAGGAAGTGAACGGGGGAGGTGAGTGAGGAGAGAGAAAGAGAGAGGTTGGGGATCACGGGAGCGGGGAGGTGAGTGAGGAGAGAGATAACACGTGAGTGAGGGGAGAGAGAGAGACTGCACGGGACTAGTACTCCCGTGCAGCTCTAAAAAACTTCTCTAGATCGAAATCGCCCCTTTTCAAATTGAAAAGGTCGATTTTGCTGATTATTATTTGAAATGGTCGATTTTACTCATTAATGTTAAAAAACGGTTGTTTTTAAAAATTTGTCCATATTAAAATGACCAAAGGAGTATACCAAAAGTTTTTAGGACAAATTTTTAAAAACAACCGTTTTTTAGCATTAATGAGTAAAATCGACCATTTCAAATAATATTCAGCAAAATCGACCCTTTTTATTTGAAAAGGGTCGATTTCGAGCCAGAGAAGTTTTTTGAGCTGCACGGGAGTACTAGTCCCGTGCAGTCTCTCTCTCTCCCCTCACTCACGTGTTATCTCTCTCCTCACTCACCTCCCCGCTCCCGTGATCCCCAACCTCTCTCTTTCTCTCTCCTCACTCACCTCCCCCGTTCACTTCCTCTTCTCCGCCGCCCGCAACCGCCAGGCCCGCGACCTCTCCTCCTCCTCCCCCTCCACCACTGATCACCACTCTTCGACGCCGCCGTCCTCCACTTCCCCTCCCCTCTCTCCTCGCCATGACCATGAGCAATAACAGCAGCATTGAAAAAGGATCACAAACAGCAGTATCATCTTCTTCCTCCATTACATCCACCAGGGAAAACTTCAGCTGCTGGTTCTTCATTGGTTCGATCATCGTCACCTCAATATCGTTCTTTTCCTGTAAGTTTGGGTTTTGGGAGGGCACTGTTCTAAATGTGGGTTAATTCTCTGTGCGCTTTGCTGAGAATTGGTGAACTTTGCTTATATGGGCTGATCTCATAAGTAATTTTTCCTGTAAATGACATTATGGTTCATCTCTTTTATGATTTCAGTTATAGATAATGACTTTCGTTTTTGAGATAAATTTATTGAGCAAGGGACGACTTTGGATTCTTGCTTTGCCTTACGCTTGCAAGGGAAGTGGAGGACGGCGGCGTCGAAGAGGGGTTTGGAGTTGGGAGGGGAAGTGGGAGGGGCGGGGCCGGGGTTTGTCGGGGGAGGGGGAGGTCGTGGAAGTGGAGGTGGTGATCAGTGGTGGAGGGGGAGGAGGAGGAGAGGTCGCGGGCCTGGCGGTTGCGGGCGGCGGAGGAGAGGAAGTGAACGGGGGAGGTGAGTGAGGAGAGAGAGAGATAGGCTGGGGATCACGGCAGCGGGGAGGTGAGTGAGGAGAGAGATAACATGTGAGTGAGGGGAGAGAGAGAGACTGCACGGGACTAGTACTCCCGTGCAGCTCTAAAAAACTTCTCTAGATCGAAATCGCCCCTTTTCAAATTGAAAAGGTCGATTTTGCTAATTATTATTTGAAATGGTCGATTTTACTCATTAATGTTAAAAAACGGTTGTTTTTAAAAATTTGTCCAAGTTTTTAATGTCATCCTCTTTTATTTTGTAGTCTGATTATTGTTTTCTTTTAATGAGATATACATAACTATATATATCAAAAAAAAAAGGTAAAAACGTTTCCTTAAATTTTCTCATTGCTTGCATTAAGCATATGCTTATATTACCTTTAAGAGTTTCAAGAACCATGACCCCTACATGGCATAAAACAGAGAACATTTTCTTAGTTTATTATTAGAAAATCAGGCTGAGATATCAATAATTAAACTAGGTACAATCCCTAACAAACAAAAAAAAAGTTATTTCCTACATGTTTTATGGGTTTCAGAAAAAATATCATAGATTATTATTATTAGAAAAATATAACAAACTTTGAAATAGGCAGAAAGATCCGATAAACTTTCAGAACACTGTCCATGAACTTTTATCATATTTACAAAACCATAATAAAACCTTACATAGAATCTCTAAACTGTGAACATTCTGTTGCTGCCAAATAACTACCAACAAAATTTAGCATGATCATGTAAAATTTTTTTTATAGCACGTAATACTTTTCTGCGTGTACGAAGGTTTATGACACTTTTCTTCAGTAAAATAATTCATGGGGGTTTGGTCAAAATCCTTCTGGATAGCATGTAATACTTCTCTGCGTGTTCGAAGGTTTATGACATTTTTCTTTGGTAAAATATTTCATGGGGTTTGGTTGAAACCCTAACAGTTCACGATAATTTTCGGGTGCATAAACCCCAAGTCTGAAGCATGTAATGAGCTGCTGCGGTACCTGTATTCAAATCCACTGCCTAATAAACTTGCAATACAACAACAGCAGCAGCAACAACAACAACAAAGCTTTTTATCCCAAAATTTTTGGGTCGGCTACACGAATCCTACTCAATAAACTTGCATTAGTATACTACTTATACATTGTTTAACAACAATAAGACTAAACTACTCATGAATACTGTATGAAGCAGCATGTAGATTGAGATCTATCTTTCAAGCATAACTCAGCATTCTTGCTCTTCCTCAAAGCAGAGAACAATAACAATCCAACCTAAACACTGTTCAGAAGGTCATTTCAAATTCTTACTTCCCAATTTATCAAACTGCAATTACCAGAGAAAAGTCAACTATCAAGTTATGCTACAATGCAAGTTGATATGGAGGTACTAATCATGTCTAATGCCAAAAGCATCTTCAAAACTAAACAAAAAAGATCTGATGAAGTTCAAGAAGAAAAGATCCCTATAGGATGATGACAACGATGAATAAGATTTTTCTATTTGTTGCGCTTGACAGCCCTCTTTCCATGGCCCTTCTTCGGTGGGCCCTTTCCTCGACGCTTCAGCATTTCAAGTTTAGCCAATCGCCTGCCATTCAAATAAGTAATGAATTTTGCTAAGAAACTATCAGGGAAGATCATAAACCAAAGAAAATAGAGTAAAACAGCAGAACTTGATCTTTATGCAGCATTTCAAGGGAAGATCATAATCCAAAGAAAATGGAGTAAAACAGCAGAGCTTGATCTTTATGCAGCATTTCCAGACAATCTGGGCTTTTATCTTAAGCATCAACTAATTTCATCCTCAAATGACTAAAGGATGTTAAGAAGACAGTCCATAGTTTAGTAATAGACAGAAAAAATGGGAGTTTTGTGGGGAAAGACCTCCTTAGAACTAGAGTTCTATTTCAGTTTGACTGTCACTCAGGAATACCTGTCTTGCCTCCCTTAGATCAACTCTGGTGACGCAAGTATAGATCTTAGTTTCCCTGAATTGACAGACAATATCAAGGCCGTCTTGTTCAAAATCTTTGGTTTTGTTTACCTATTTATTTCATCTTAACATCGAGAAAGCTACCATGACGTGGTTGGGAAATAATACGCCATGAATCGTATGCAAGCTATTAAAAGGTTCTTAAGGTTCAATTTGGATATTCAAAATTTGATGGCATGTAGGGAGTAGTTCATAGCTAGATGTAAAATTATAATGCAACTCACCTTCAATTCCAGTTGAAGACGGAAATGTATAATCTAGATACTGAATTACATTCGACATCAAAAGAGAGAAATACCACTTGATTACATGAGAAATTGTCTTAAACATTCGCTAGAAGTATCACTAACTTAAGAATATATGGATTTTCTTCATGAGATGAAATGCCCTTAAAAAAAAAGGATCAATAGTTGGATACTGTTTTACTCTTAATGCAGTGTGCATGTCCATGAACATCTACACAGAAGTTGGGCATCTAACTATTTTGCCTAGGATCTATGGCTTGACTTGAGCAGTTGGCAGTGGCAAAATAAGAAAAAACAGAAGAAAAGAAGCAATAATCTAGAACCGCGAAACGGTGAACATCTACTACACCGATCGCAACTAGCCCTGCAAAGTTTCCAGCAGAAATTTTCTGATTGAACCTTTCTAGATTTGATTCTTAAGTTCCAAATCTTCAGTATATACCAACTGAATGCAAATGTAGTTAGCAACATAGATATAACCCCACAAGATCATGCAACCAGTTTCCACCCATAGGAGCTTTTCATGAACTTAACATAATTATCGACTAACCCAAGTAACAAAATTCACTCATTTTGATGATTTTTAACAAGTCAGTTTGATTCTAACACACAAAGAAACATTGAAAAAGAGAACTAATTTTAAAAGTAAACAACACAATATCAGCAGTTTCTAAAAAATTATAAATACGAAGTTTGCTTTTGCCAACTGGAGTTTAAGCAAGAAACTCATCCAGCATCTTAAAAAAAAAAGTTCTCCCTACATAGTCATCTAAACATATCACTCACTGGCAGCTATCTCCTTGCCTAATTGACAAGATGCTGTATAGTATCTTAGCTCAAATTTTCAATGAATCTGGTATTTTTTCACGCAGATTGCAAAAAGGGGAAGCATAAGTAGTTACACAGAGTCCTAACAAGGCTTTGTTCTTTCCAAATTTCTCAAATATATATAAACAAACATTTATATGTTCCCCCCTATTATTACCGCAATTTGGGATTTACCTATACTTCCTCTGAATGAGTATTCTTCAAACCTCCACGACAACCAATTTTCCACCAAAAGATCAAAATTTGAGCTCGACCCAGTAACTAAAGCCATCAAAACACACCAACTAACCTCAAACACCTTCGCTTTTCTTCCAAATTTCTCACAGCGGCATAAAATCAAACACACAGCAAGCATCAACAGAACGTCAAACAAGATAAAAGTAAATTTCCATACTCTTTCTCTTCACGAGCCAAGACATCGCGATCCTCGTTCTTGATATCGTACGGGTACCACTGAGCAACTTTATCTCCGATCAGCTTCTTTCTTAGAATTTTATGGGGCGAACGCTTCCCTGTGGGGTTGAGCACGTGACCGAATATCGCCGCACGCGCCTCCGTCACCCCTTTGAGGGCCACCGCCGACAAGAGGCTCTTCAGGCTCATCCTCCGCCGTCGATCGCCGCCACCGAGCTTGTTACCGCTGCCTTCGTCGATGGAAATGATCGACCTCAAGTATGAGCGCTAACGGGTTTGACCTGAACCCGAAACCGGATTTGGGCTAATATCAGTTCACCCCCTTAAAGTTTGGCTGTTCGTGAGATACAACCTCTAATTTTAGAAGGGTTTTTGAAATATCGGTCCCCGAAATCTCATCTATTTATGTACAAGTCCTCTGAATCATCATATTTGGATACAGAGTCCTCCTAATCTATATTTTGGATACGAATCACTCAAATTATCATAATTGGATACAAGTCCCACAAAACCATGAGGTTCTTTGAAACAAGTCCCCGTCATTATTATCATCCACTTAACACAACTTAACTAATCAGGATTGTTAATTTTCTTGTTTCATTTTTCCGCTTATTTTCAACCCTACCCTGTTGCAAAGGCAAAAAATTAAGCCAATGAAACATTTGAACCCACTGAAAATCAACTTGACCCAACTAAACTTTCTTAAATCCTTCTGATTTAGAGTTAATTTCTGACGGCCTATTACTTCAACAGTTTTGAGGTGCTTGCGTTTAAATATGATAATGTAAAGGACTTGTATCCAAATAGATGAGACCAGGGGGGGTTATATCTAAATACAATAATTTGGGGGGACTCGTATTCAAATAGATAACATACGGGGGACCAATATCTCAAAAACCCAATTTAAAAATACCAGAAAACCCTTCCTGAGTTTTCTCAGAAAACGCCCCAAACTACGGTGTTAAATTTAGAGTCTGGCACCAAAATGAACATTACTATACAATTGCCCAAAATATACAGTCGCTAACCTCCGCACAAATCATATGTTTATGAAAATTCTAATAGGCAAGTAGTTTCCAAAATAACTTCAGTTACGAGGAATTTAAATACCATACGCTGCTGCAAAAGACTATAACAAATGAATCAAGGTTCCATGGAATTTGCCGATGAAATTCAACCCACAACATCGAATATGCTATGCCTACCAGGTTGAACATTCTACGTATGTAGTCTCAATACAAAAAAGAAAACTATGACAACTTTGGTTTACAAAACATTACAAACTTCTTCTGATAAACAGCTGCAAGGAGCATATCACAGTACGGTTGGGTCACAAAACTATTCCTTATTAAACAAAACTGCAAATAAATCGACTCTGACGAAACTACTTGCGACAGTTGATAGCTTCAACAAGATCTGCTTTTTTTTTCACTTGTGCTCGGTCTTGAAATGGCTCTATTTGTAGTGCTTGGAGACCTCCATCACAACCTTATCCATAAACTGGCATTTCTTGTCCCAGCCCCATCCAGGGTTGCTCTGCAAATAATACATGATTAGAATACAGCACCAGTTCATGTACATGTTTCGTCGTCCAAAAGTCAATTTGAAATGCAGGTTTGCATGTTTGATCTTCCAAAAGCCAATTCTATGAATTTATGATACATGCACATTGATGAAAACCAAGTAGGTTCTGCCAAAGGTCAATTTCAAATGCAGCAGAAGATAATGCCACAGCTACAATAAGGATGGAATAGATGAAGAAAAAAAACAGAAAGAGGGGAAAACACATTCCACAATTTCAATACCTTCAAGTTCGCAAGAATTTATCCTAGGGACAGTTTCTTAACTAATAGGTCCAACTTGTCCTTCGAAACTTGAAAGACCTTCAGTGAATATATATTTATGAATGCATGTATAAATACAACAGCCCAGATTTCCCTCCCAGTGTTTGATGAATTTAATCCTTTCGGTCTTCATATAGGAGGTTGTGTTCTGATAGTACAGGACCAAACACAATGCATATAGCAAGCGTGTGCATCATGCTTTCATACTATTATATACTTAGGGTCTCAATTCAGATGCACGATTGACTGAATTAATTTCATCTATATGTTTATTGATTTGTTTCTACGGCCAGTGAGAGAAATAACAGTAAAGTCCATACAATTGCAGATAATGCTTTACTTTGACAATTGCAGATAATGCATGACACTATGAGCGCCCACTAAAGCAGCCTTTTTTGGATATATATAGCATTGTCTCATATAAGAGGTATCAGATATGAGAGATGACATTAAAAACTTGCAATGGGCATACATACAAGCATACAACAGATATAGACTAGAAATATTGCCCTCTTATTACATCTATAAAACATCAAATTCCCTGTATACTAAATGCATATGAATATGGACCCCACTAAGAAAGGTAGGGCCTAGACTAGCTTTTACAGTTCTACTCTTGAATTGTAAGGATCATTTTGCTATTTGGATCATCAAATCTCCTAAATCACTAAATCCTAGTTTGACCAGAAATTATATTTTTGTGCTTTTTCTCCGTAGATATTAGGGGTGCACTCGGTTCGGATACGGTTCGATATGACACTTATCATATCCATATCCGCTTTCTAAGAAAACGGATATGGATACGGTTCTGATATTCATCGGTAAGAAAAAGGCATGACCATATCCGCACTAAACGGAAACGGATATGGTTCAGATATTAGAGAGTTGGATACAGATATGATACAAATATTAATCAGATAATTGGGAAATGGATATGAATATGATATAACAAAAAATATATATGATTTTAATAATTCACAAATAACTAAAAATTAATATACTTGCAAGCAAAAAAATCCAGAACATTGCTACACATATTCAGGTAGATATTAGCAGAAAAGCCTGATGAGAAACCGTTAACCAACCTGTCTCAGGAGCACATGCCTAACATTGCTACACAAAAAATATATATGATTTTCCTCTTTTTCTGAGGTTTTTCCTCTGTTTCATTAGAAAACTCTTCTATGGTGGGTTCAAAGGCCGGTTCAATTATGAGTTCAGTAGTGGGTTCTTCATTAGAAGCTTGTGCTGATGGATTAGACATGATTCTGATATCTATCCAACGAAAGTTATAAATTTAATCAAATAAGTAATAATATAATGATTATGATACAATCATAAATACAAGAAGAAATTAGGGGTCAGCTATACTGTAAGATGCTAGCTTTGCACTAAATAATGTTAGAAACATTCTCCTTTTCACATATGCACTCTCTCGTGGTATATAATTTTCAAAAATTGACATTACAAACTTACACCTACATATCAATGTGCATTCTCTATTTATTTGTGTGTTTGTGGGTATTTGGGAATGGGGGTGGAATTGGCACTTAGGTATAAGTTGAAATTTTTGAACACTAATTTTAGTAGCTTGTAGTTCCTATCCGAACACTAATTTTTGAACACTAATTGGCACTTAAAGTTACAAACTAGGTTAGTCGAGCTTGAAGGCGGTGGCTTGAAGTCGGTCGAAAGCGGAGCCTTAGAGACAACTGAAGTCAAAGGCGGAGGCTTGGAGATGGCGGAGGTCGAAGGCGAAGGGCGGAGGTCAAAGGCGGAGGCTTGGAGACGGCTGAGGTCGAAGGTCGAACTCGGAGGGCGGAGGTAGAAGGCGAAGGCTTGGAATGGAGACGGCTGAGGTCGAAGGCGGTTCGACGGAAGTCGAAGGTGGCAATCAAAGGCAGAGACTTTGTGATCTTCAATTTAGGGCAGAAGCAAAGGATTTTGACCTTTGCTATCGGAAGAAGACGCATTAAGCTTAAATTGGGTTGGGTAAAGGATAAGATAGGTTGCATATTAAAGACCCGACCCAACACTCCAGTATAAAATTAGCTGAGTTACACATCCGGATATCCGGACCGTATCCGCAAAATCAACCTGAAAACCGTATCTGAATGAAATACCAAAACTAAAACCGAACCGACACCATATCCGAATGGTTTCAATTTTTTCCTACCCTATCCGCTTTCTAAACGGACAAGGTTGCGGTCGGTCCGGATATATCCGGATTGTTTTGCACACCTAGTATATATTGATTTCCCAGATCAAATGCGTACGGGAGTGCTATATCACCAAAATTTGAGTTTTACGTATTTGTTCATCTGTAACAATTTTGAGAAAATAGTAGAATTGAGTTTTCACATATATCCTTACATCAAAAGGCCACAAGTGACATGCAATTGTCACACAATGCTTTTGGAATTTCTTGTCCATACTCCTTCCTTGTACAACTACACAAACATTTCTTCTTTCTTAGGCCTCTCTCTATCTTTCCTACCTTTTTTTAATTCACTTCTTCCCGAACCTGGAGCCAAGCTCACTTCAGGACCAGGTCAGACCAATCTGTCTAAATATTCAAACCCCTTTCCCTCAGTTCCCCCTTTTCTTTCAGCAGAAAGTTTCACTCTACTTCCTCTCGAATTCTATTGGAATGGTGACTACCGAAAGGGACAAAACCATCTAAAGAGGACATCTCCCATTACAGCTGTAAAACTCCAGTTCTTCTCTTTCCTCCTGGAATTGCTGTTCCATTGCGTATTCATTCATAATACTCGATCCAGATAAACTTTCTAGCCCTCATTACCACCAACTTCATGAACTTTAATCAATTTAACAAAGAAAAAGACACCCACTCCCGCCTCCTGCCAGACCCTCACTCAGACAGACCCTCACTCTGACTTTTTATATACAAAAGCTTTATACATAAAATGTTTACAAGGGTTTAAATGTATGATTGGTTAAGTGAGATTGGTCGATTCATGGTTTGGAGATATGCTTGCTTAAGGTGAGAAATTGGTTATTTACTTAATGGCAAATGAAGCAGGGTCTATTACAGCATATTGGGGATTCCTTCGATTTTTTTTCTTTTTTTGAGAGGTGGGAGGGGTGCTGAATCTATCTCTTGCTTATAATGGTCTGTTTTGTTGTACTCCTAAAGTTCATTGGGCAGAAACGGTATGGCAAGGGCTTTCTATTCCTCGGTATATGCTTATATTCTACGGATGGCAGTTAAAGGAAGACTTCTAACACGGGATAGGCTGGTGAGATTTGGGATTATTCAAATGTATGTGTGCTATGTAATTGTGCTCGAGAAGATGTTAATCACCTCTCTTCATTCGTCCCTACTCTGCTTTGATTAGGATGAAGCAGCTGAGTTGGATAGGGCAAGACAAAGATCCAAGGAGGTTGGAGGATGAGATGAACTGGTTTAGCCAGTTTGTGAAAGGGAAATTCTTTAAG